GCATATTTGAGCAAGTTCCATGGTCAATGAGAGAGGAATCTTTCATTGCAAGTAGCACACAGGCACAGATATGATCCTCCTAATGATAAGCACTTAAATAAAAGCATATTTGAGCAAGTTCCATGGTCAATGAGAGAGGAACTTCTCCAGCTCATGCATCGAAATCTGAATTGCTTCGTACCACTACGTCATGTGGCTAGAGCTAAATCCAGAAGGCAGTGCCTCTAGTGCCTGATGTTAAGCAGGATGAATTTGGGCCTGCCAGGGTTTGTCAATAGCATAGTTCAAGCACTGTCTCTTTCCTGAGTTTTTACTGTCATAAAGAAGTGCTGCTGCTCCCAGCAGAAAAGTTCTCACTGAGGAAGATAAATGTCTACACATAATGCTATACACATCAAAAAAATACCCATTATTTAATAAAGATTTCAGTTAGAATGATAACTGAAATGAAGAAAGCACTTGTATCATTCAAACACCAGCTTCACTTTCATGAGTTGCTTAACAGCCTTATCATTTACCGTTCCTCTCCCCTCCCCTCTATTCTCCACCCTTTTTTTCCTCTCCTCTCCTCTCCATCCCATGGCTTCACAGCTAAACAAGTACCTGGAAATAACTTCCAGTTATTGGTATCCATTCTTGTTAACATAATAAGATCCCTTATTGTTTTTACCATCTTCTTTGTGTTTATACTTTTTTGTGTGCATAAATGTGTTTGTATGCAAAGTTTAAACCAATCTTTTAGTGACTGACAGTTTATTAGAAACAATTATTTTAATGTAATATGTTATAATTACATTAGTTGAACATGCTGGCCATAGGGATGAGTCGAGAGAGACCAGGTCATGTCAACATGCCTAAGGTACATGATCATGCACACAGTGCATCCTATCAAGACACCATCATTGTTTATTGAGCAATAGCAATAAAATCCAGTTCTATATTGCTACCCATCAAACACCACTGTAGTCTCACGTAGTTACCACAGCAGACTGTGAAAAAATCCAACAGATTTTAATAGGCTTTGGATCAGGCCTGCATTAATTTTCAGTCCCTTTTAATTATAGTTTCTTGAATGATTCATTTGATTGCTCCTATGTTTCACTAATAAAACACATAATGCCAGTACCAGATTCATTTGAAAGCTCTATGCTAGCAAAATTGCAAAGGCTGTGTACTCAGATTCTTACTTTGTTGGAAGTGTCTGTATTACCACATATGTATCGCAGTGTTACATGTTTCATGGTTTTAATGTCTAACAAAAATAATTTTTTAATGAATTTTAGGGGAATGTCACTTTGGGGATGTTCACATGTTTATGTGAGAATTACATGGTTTGTGCGCAGTAACCATAACATGGAAATATAACACTTTTCTCTAAATATACAGCTTATTTATCCATTAATCCTCCTTAGTAGACAATGCAAGACCCAGTTAGCAAAATACAGAATTCTTTACTCCTTTAAATGGTTGTTAGGTGTCATCTATCACATTCAAGCTAAAAGACAGAAATAATAAATTTCACCTTTTGTTGCAGAAATTGGTTTTGTTAGAATAAAGATCTCATTCATTGAGCTTTGCTGTTATGTTTCAAAAAGAGCACCGACTTTGATAAGTAACAAATCATAACTGCTTTTAATCAGTTCTGGTCTTTTGATCTTATATATATTTTCACTCTGGTGATATTTTTCCCCTCCAATGACATGAAATATTACCAGAGTGACCTTCGAGCACTATTGATTTGACAAATTTACAACATGTTTTATACCAAGAAAGTGGTGTTAGAGGTGTGTACTACTGGCTTTGTACTGGTACTGTTTTTGTCCCACTGATTGAAACACTGATAAAGGCTGTTTTCTTTTGTGTATTTAGCAAATTTCCCGAGTGAGTTGGGACCACAGACACTCAAAAGAAATGGGACAATCTTCTGGGTGTTTTTTGCTCGTTGCTGAGCACTGTTTTTGAAAGAAAGTGTATTTATTCTTTTGAAGGATAGCTATTTTACCTTCTGCAGAACTTGCAGTCCCACAATGCTTGAAAAAGAGCCATTAAGAATACACGATCCAAGTTCTCATGGCTGTAACAACAATGTTGTTGCTAGTATTTAGTTCTGCTACTCAAACAACTTTAGTACTTTTTCATTAAACAACTTATTATCTGACAGACCCCGTGCTAAAATGGATATGAAAACTTGGATGGCCTTTGCAAACATGAGCAATTAGTTGCATTATATCACAGACACTTTGAAAGTAGCTTTGAGAGCTACTTTCTGACTGTTCTTCATTTTCTTTCCTTATCCAAGACACAAAATAAGATGCAAAAGAACTACCCTCATGGGACAATTTCTTTTTTTCCCTATCTACACATTGTCTGTACAATACTAGAAAAATGTCGTTTTAAAGGGATGTTTTTTAGATACATAGAATTGATTTAAAGTGATAGTGATGTTTCTTGCCCATGTGTAAGAAGTTTTCTCCTCTTCTTTTCCCCTTCCTCCTTCTCATTAAGCATTGTGCTTCCTGAGAATGGCAGTAGTGTGGCTGTACAGCGTGCTCAATAATAAGAAAGAAGTTGAAAAGGATTTATCAAAAAAAGACAAATCTAATTTTTGAAGCAAACTATGTTGTTTTGAACAGCCAGTATCTAAACTTAGACCTTGTTGCGAATTTAAGAAAACAGTATTTGGTCTCCTTCATAGCCCCTCAGCATCCAGCTTTGCTATTCAGAGAGAAGGGATTTAACTAAATGTCAGTTACACAGTGCCACTAAGCACAAATAATTAAATGCTTATTTTAGAAAATTCCACACCACTTCCCTTCCCCATCTGCCCCTGTGCTTTCTCTGGCCAGTCTGTCATACTGTGATTTTACTGAGATGTTAAAGGAAAGAGCTCAAAATGTTTCATCGGGAGAGAAGCAGAGCAAGGGGGAAAGTACCTCCTTCTCTTTCTTGCCCTTTAGTAAGTGAAAAAAACTTCAGCTCCCCAGTTGTTGGAACAAGTCTTCTTTGTTCTTGTGTGGTTCAGTTTGATTGCTGAACCAAAACACAATACATGCATTCCTCAGAAGCAATCAGAAAGAAATGAGTGCAATTGTTAATATTCTCCTCTTACTTATAATTGCTTACTAATTAGTTGTTTCTAATGCTATGTTTGCCTGAATTTTTGTGCTTTGTTGAATTGTTTAATTCTATTAGGAAAGCCTCTAAATGAAGAAATTAGATTCAAACTACAAAACACTAGTAATAAAAAATTTTTCCTCACATATTCTCTGTCATTTTTCCCTAATAACCAAACTGTTATTGCTAAAAGCTATTGCTTTTTAATGAATATTTTATTTGGTGACTTGCATTAAAACAGCTATCTGAGTCTTATAGAAATGGGACTTTAACCATTGTAACACATAAACAGCAACACCTTTATATTCTTTAGGATTAGTAAATTTTATTCCTCTCTGAATTTTTTACTCCCTTTCCTTATAAGATTAATTTTTAAAAAGACTATTGAGAAAAAATATGTTTGTTTGTTTGGATCACCGTAATTCCTTACACAAAACTCCCATTAATTGCTTGAGTAGGCACTTGAATGGTAGTTTGGCACTTTGAATGGTGGAAAGCTACACCTAAGTAGTTTTCTTTAAAATGATACTAAATTATATTAACTCAGGAGAAGCTTTCCTAAAAATTGTCATAAGATCCCTAGACATCCTTGGAGTTTAAGTATGTTCCCAACTAAACTGCATACAGCTAAAGAGGGAAATGGCAACTGTTTTTCCCTCTTTAGCCCCTGAATTGCCAATTCCCAAATCAGACATGCTGCTTAAGTGGAGCTAGAGCCTATCACCTTTGGAAACTGCAGATCAATGCACTGGAAGCCAAACTCTTTTACAATGTCCCATCATGTCTCTAAGGAGGGAGTGCCCTCATATTCACCAGTTTTCTTAAAGAACTACTTCAGCTAAATCAGCACAGAAACAATTGCAAAATAGACTGATTAGGACACAAGGATGTATAAAGGCATAAATATGCAGGATGAAAATGAAGAAGTCAGTGCTCACCTAGCACTGAGCTTTTATGGTGTCACTTCCACTACAGCGTTCTTTTAATTAGCTGGCAGATGCTTAATAATCTGTGTCCTGGTGACTGGGCTTCTCAAGAAAATCTTCCCCCATCCAGAACTACCACAGAAGGGGACCCCTGGTTAAGGACTCCTTTATTCTCTTTGTATGGGAGGTTCCTCCGGTGATCTATTCAGATCTAAAACTCCTCTCTTTCCCAGCAATTCCTTAATCCTTCTCTCAGCAGAGAAAGATTTGGGATCTTATCGTCACTTCATCGGTGTCTGCTTTCTCATGCTTTGGAAATGTAAATGGCTGACTGTGAATCTTTCTGCCCAGACAGTAAACAAAGACTGTTAACGAATAAAAGCCACCATAAGGCAAAAAACTGTAACCACCTGTTAAGCAATATTCAAACCTGAGTGTGAAACTTTCTCATACGTTGATTCTAATATTCTGTGCAGATTAACATAAATTGATGATTTACGCCGTATACAGGTGGATTTAACTCTTCACTGACTTTGCCAGGGATAAGACACAGAGTAATCTGTTTGGGATGGTAAAGGACTTGTGGATAACACCATAATAGTATCTGCAGGACATATGACAGATGTGCATGCTTTGAAAGTTAGATTTGATTTTGGAATGTACATGGACTTCTGTGAGCCTGTCTGCTGGTTCTCAGCCAAGTCAAGTCTGCTGATATCTTCGCCTTGTGTGAATATGTAGAAATGGAACAGTATCTAAAATTCCTGTTTAACTGTTCCAACAATCTTACAGCTTTAGGATTGTATTTATTCTCTACTGACTCATTCCTTACTGGGACATGTGTCAGGTAGTTGCCTTTTATCTGTTACCTGTTACCTTTTCCATTCAATAGGCTTAATAAGAACAAATAACAACAAATAGTATGTAGTTTGCATTCTAGCTCTTTAGATGTTAAAATAGATCCTCAAAGCAAAATTAGTAATCTTTGAACAATCATGGCAACTGGGAGAGGTGCCTGAGGACTGGCAGAAAGCAAATGTTGCTCCTGCCTTCAAAAAGGACAAGAAGCAGGACCCAGGGAACTACAGGCCGATCAGCCTCACCTCGATCCCTGGGAAGGTAATGGAGCAGGTAATCCTGGAAACCATTGCCAAGCACATGAAGGACAAGAAGTTGATCAGGAATAGTCAGCATGGATTCACAAAGGGAAAGTCATGCTTGACCAACCTGCTAACCTTCTATGATGAAATGAGTGTCTCAGTAGACCAGGGGAGAACAGTGGCTATTGTCTGCCTTGACATCAGTAAGGCTTTTGGTACTGTCTCCCATAGGATCCTCATCGAGAAGCTGATGAAGTATGGGGTAGATGAGCAGACAGTGAGGTGGACTGAAAACTGGCTGAACTGCCAGGCCCAGAGGCTGGTGATCAGTGTCAGGAAGTCTGTTTGGAGGCTGGCAACTAGCAGGGTAACTCAGGGGTCAGTATACGTTCCGTTTGTCATCTTCATTAATGATCTGGATGACGTGGCAGAGTGTACCCCCAGTAAGTTTGTAGATGACACAAAACTGGAGCAAATGGCTGATACGCAGAGGGCCGTGTTGCCATCCAGAGGGACCTCAATAGGCTGGGTTCTTCTGCTGAAGAATTGAAAGCACCAGGAGAGTGCTCTTGCAAATATTCCTCACATTTCTTGAAACCAGCCATCTGCATGAGATGCATGTCACTTAGAGATCAAGAGCACACATAAGTTCCATGGAATATTTATATAATTTATTGGCACTCTATACTTAGCATTTCCTCTTGACCAGCCCTAAACAGCTTCGCACAAACCTTGAATCCAGCGGGTTTTGGTTGTTTCTCTGCTTTCTGGAACTCATCTTGGCTGTCCTCACTCCAAACTGATTTCCATCCAGACAAAAATAATTTTAAAATGTCAAAAATAGTTTAAAAGATTTCTCTGTTTTGGGGAGGAAAGAAAGTGGCCATTCCTTGCACAAAGCGAAAAACAAAGAAGTAAATACCCTCTCCTCTAGCCTTTCAGAAATGAATTTGTCTTAGGTATCAGATGTTCTTATATAACAGCATCAGTTATAATTTGTTTAAAAACATTTTACACTTTTCCAGTATTGACTTTCTTTTGTTTCCTCAGTAGTACTCATAAGGGAAATTTAAGTAATTATGTGAATTCTCGTAAACTACATCCTAAACAAAAGCAAAAGGCCAGATAGAAGGCCTTTTTTTTTGTCTCAGCTAAGCTGACAAAAGATGTCTGATGTTAAACCACATGTTTTTCTCCTACTGTTCATCTTTTTTTGGAAGCATTTACCCTGAAGATATGAGACAATATATTCAAAGTGAGAACCCTCTTCAGTTTAAAAGGCACATTCTGTATTCATATTGAGTGTGGGAATTACAAAGACAGAATGGGATGCATTTGTAGTCCTATTTGCATGTCAAAATTCAAATTGTTCTCCTGACTATGGCTTGTATCATAACACCGATGCAGACTCTGATACAGACACTGTTCTAAAATGTTAGTATATTTTTAGTGAAGTTCTTATCTGCTTATTTTGCAGCTGAGGTTTGCTAGGTAAAGCAGCCTAAGAAGGGCAACATGAAAGGGAAATAGTGAAAAAGCACATAGCCAAAAGTGTAATTCTGAAACCATTTCCTCCTGACTTTTCCAGCTGACCTTGTTTTGGTTAACAAGTTATAATATGCTAAAGGGAGACCATTCAGTTTACAAAAAGTGTGAATCTCATCAGCCATAAAGAAGAAAGACAATATATGAGATACTTAGCAGAAAATATATTTTGGAAAAAAAACAAAAACAAAAACAAAACACGGACATTTTCAGTATGTCTACTTCCAAGCTCCGGTTGCTTGATTAGGTAAAATATAAAAGATCCACCCCAGCAAGGTGTGCTGATGAAATTTTCTTTTATAAATGAGTAGTTTTGTACTGGGAGAATTAATAAGAAGCAATCTCCAAAGATAGTATGGACAAAAAGGCCTTTTTTAATAGTTTGGCTATCATCCAAAACTTGAAAATGCCCTCTTTCTTTACCTACTTTGTTGAACATGGAATAGACTCACGGCCCCAGTTTGGAAGCCATAACCACTAACCGTCTCTTCCTTGTTTTCCTAGCTCCTGTCCGCTACTTTCAATGTGTCTTCCTAAATGGACCTAATGGATTTGGACTGCAATTTCCCACTAATCTCCCTTCCAACAAAGAAGAAAAGACTCACTCAAAGACTTCCAAGAGAAAGACAAGGAAACCAGGGCAGTAAAGAGACTGAGTCCTGTGATCACTCACATTTTGCACTTTATCTTTTCTGCTGAGGTCCACAGTAGTTACAGTGGTACTCATCATTGCAAGAATGTGATCCACTTGGACACATGTACCTGGAAAAAGTTTCCATGGAGCAGAGACAAAACAAGCAGTAATGAACTGTGTTTGACAAAGATAGAAATGTAAAAGTGTCCTGTTTCTCGTGGAAAGGCTGCAAATGCCAACAAAGCATTGACCTGATTGTGTGTGTGGGCGTGTGTGTGTTTTCCTGCCTCTTTTGCCTTTCTTGTTTTTCTTTACCTACCTGCTCAGCATTGAAGTGAGTCTGTTTTCCATTTAATCTTATCTAGGGAGTGAAAGGTTGAATGTAGCTCTTATATCAGCAAGATTGCAAGACTACCTGCAATCCTAAATCATGATTTCTTAACGTTCAATCAAATTGCTGACAGGAAAAAGCCTCACTAAGTCATGAAAATGTGCTCTGTGACTGGTGCTATTTTTATGTCTCATTGACCAGTGTAGCCTGAAGCTCACCCTTACTCGGAGCAGCTCAATATACTATCAGTAAGTTGGCTCCGCAAGTCATGTTAAAGATGAACATTTCTATTTCACTTGAAGCAGTAAAGGCATGGTCTATTTGCCCTGCCTGTTGGCGAAATACAAACTCTTCACTTTCTAAAGCCCAAAGTGAGCAGAGAAACATGGCAAAGGTGAGGAGAACGAGTGTTTTACCAACATGAAGGTCCCAAGAAACAAATTAAATAATTTTAGTACTTCTACTTTTCTTCTGTGGGTAAATCAGATTGACTTGCAGCGAAGACCATGCAAATGGAGAATATACCAGCCAACAATTTTCTATTACCATAAGTCAGATGAAGAGCTATGATGTGAAATGTCACTCATGAAACTAAAGCAATGCAAACTTCTAATAGGTAAACATGCCAATTTGATGCAATCTCAGATCAGTGAATGAAAAAAAAAAAAAGAAAACAACAACAATAAAAAAAAAAACAAGAGCAAATAAAATAATCTGGGTAGCTGATTTTACTAAACGAAATGAAAGGACTTTGTCACAGCACACTACTGTTTATATCTTATAGTTGAGAACTGGAAGTAGATATGCCAATCCTCAACCTTTTTTTGTGCATTTCTGTAGAAATAATGGATTTGTTGCCTTAAGAAAGAGATAGGATGGCATTTGATCCATGTGAAGGCACATGACTGAAAACTGGCATCTGAATTGTCTGTACGTCTGGCAATGTAAATAATCATGCATTTTTGCAAGCTGCTATTTGTTTGTGTTTCTTTACTATATTTTTGCATTGAATCTGTAAAATGTACAGCAGTGATCTTAGTTACATAGTTACCTGGTGAAGCAGCGTGATGCTCTTCGTACAACCTGGCTACTTGGAGAGTCTGGTCACACCAGTAACTATACAGTGCTTTTTTGATTTTTAGCATAGTTCAAGATAACATCAGCCCCTTCCCCCATTCCCTTTCCCTGCCGACCCCTTCTTACCTTAATCAAATAATTGTCTCACATGAGTTTTAGACAACGGAGTCTTTGACAGGTTAATGCAATGCAGAAAGCTTTGCTGTTACACTGCTGGGTCGGGTTGGTACTCTCTGATTACTGGTCATGGACATACGCGAACCAGGCTCTTGGTCTTAATGTGCTCTCTTATTGCACAGGTCCTGTGCTGCAAAAACTGTCATTGCAACAAGCAGCCTAGAGAGTGGTTTCTGGAAAGAGGTAGGAGCAAGTCCTGTCCCAGGAGTAGCTCTTCCCACATAGGAGCACAACTGCAGGTAAAAGTGTTCATGGGAATGCCTCCACAGTCCCCTGTGAAATCTGCTCTGGAGACACAGCTGTCAACAGACAATATTTTGTGGTAAAATGACAATCTCTAATTTTCTTTCAATGGGCCTTTTTATGTTTCCAGGGACTTTTTTTCCTTCCCAATATGGGATTTTGTGTATATTATTATGGACGTTATTGCCCTAGGTTTTTACTGAGAAAGCTGTCTTAAAATAAGATTATAATTTTCTGAAAATCAGTTAATTTAATTTAAGATTTTCTCTAAATCAAGATAAAATTTTAATATACTATAAGTCATTAACTTTTTTCAGCTTCATTTGGCAATTATTTTTTTTTCATTATAGTTAACTTTAAGACTTTCTTTCCATTTGAGTTGGGAGATGACAAGAATATGTTCCAGCTATCATTTTCATAATGTTTCAATTAGATATCTGAAAGCTTTGGAAATACAAACAATTAATATAATTGAATAAATTATATAAAATCAGTCATTTATTGTTGCTTCCTAATCTCAGTCACTGCCCCAAAGAACAGGAGAAACAGGCCCACTCTCAAAGTGGCAAGTATTTTTCTCTTCAAATTCACCTGGAAACTTTAAAAAAATTTACTTGAATTGCATGGTTTTACTCAAATTAGCCTGAAATATTGCAAAATCATATGCTGGTTGTTATCCATTGTGGAAAATAAAGAACATAAACCTTGTTCCGGAGGCTGTAATATGTTTTACTGTGAATCTAGAAGTGGAGGACAAGGGTTTACCCACGTAAGTTTTCCGTCCCTGCCAGTGTACCGGGTGCAGGTGCCCAGGCACTGGTGGGGGCTGCGGGGGGACCTCTGTGAGGAGAGGTGGGGGCTGCCCCGTGCCGGACACAGACGGTTCCAGCCGGCTCCAACCAAACCACGGCAGGGCACGGCTGAGCCCCGCAGCCAAGATGGCGGCACCTCAGGGAAAGCGTGTGTAAGGAAGGGGAGAAAACACCACAGAGAGGAGGAGGGAACAAACAGAGTGAGAAGCAGCAAAGGGAGCGCCAAGGTCAGAAGAGGAGAAGGAAGAGTCGGTGCTCCACACCGGAGCAGAAATGCCCCTGCAGCCTGTGGAGGACCTATGCCGGATCAGGCAAAAAGTGTGAAGAGGACAGAGCAGCGAAGAGGAACCACCATCTACCAACCGTAACTGCTGGAGACTGGAGTGAAGGAGTGAAGTTGACCTTGGGAAAGGGGGGAGGAACGGTGTTGTTCTAATGTGTGTCTTTGTTTCCCACTATCCAAATTAGCAATTACCTTTTTGCAAGTTAATTTTCCCTGAGTCTATTTTGTCCACAACAGTAATTAGTAATCAACCTACCTGTCTTTATCTTGACCCACAAGCTTTCTCGTTTCTAGTCTTCCTATTTTCTCTCCCTGAGGGGAGAAGTGAGCTAGTGGTTAGGTGGGAGTTAGGCTGATAGCCAAGGCTAACTCACCACAGCTGGTTGTTACACAGATCCTATACAACTCCTACTAAATGGCAAAAAATTGCTATTTGTCCCACATGTAG